AAACGTCAACATGATTTTAATACCACTTTTTGCTGGACTAATTTTGTGATTTGGCGAATTACAATTTTTAAAATTTCAAAAGTAATTAGGACTTACTACTGGTGATGTTGCGAAGAGATGATTGAAACGTAATATAAAGATCAAACTGACGAACATAAAGGGATATTTAGGCAAAATAATGACAAAAATATTAAAATGATGTAATGTACTAAAATCCCGCTAAAATGACCTTTCTTGCAGTTTCAGCATGAATTTCTGTTTAAATTCTATATATTTTGGGTTTGAAACATAAATATATCTATTTATTACCCTTCCAGATTTTTTCCGCCTTTTTGATTGGATATTGATCACCCGAAAGTAATTGATATTACCGAGCCAGACGGGTAATATACACATTAAATTTCCCCGATTGGTACCCCACGTTGTTAACAACATGCGCCGTGCGATGCGCGTACGGTTTGATTTTACGCGATATAAATTCCGATTTATAAGCACTTTTAAAATGTCAAATGATAAATATTTACCAAAATAGAGTAATGATACATACATTATTATTTTGGTTTTGGAGTGATATATGTGGATATATTACCTGCCTAGATATAAATCTTGACAGGTAATATATCCACATATCACTCCAAAACCAAAATAACATATAATATGTTGTACAAAATTTAGACGCCAATAGAATCACCAAATAGTTTGTAAACAGGTCAAGTGACTTAAACAAGCCCTTGAAGTTACAACAACAGATATTATGGATATTGTATGATTGAAACAAGCCTAAGTCATTCATTTCACATGTTCTTTAACGTTTCCAGAGTTCACTTTGACAGCTATTGTGAAATGCTAGCGCTCTAACCTGACCCACGCGGGTCAAGTTAGGAAACCACCATTTTATGCTTTATATAGAGAAAAGTTTTGTTCTTTTGACTTATATATTTATTTTGAGGGTATTTACAGAATAATGAATGAAAAATTCAAAACTAAGAAAAGAAATGTTTGCCTGTGATTCCCTTTAATGTCATTTTGGCGTTTATCAATTTATGAAGATACCCAGCATTTATTAGAAATAATTGTTTTGTTTGTCCTTTTTGTAAACCATATTTGGGGATGGTTGTGGGGGAACCTTGAGATCTTTTGTGTGGTACATCACTTAACAATAAAAAGTTTTACTAGTCTAATACATATCAGTATATTTATCAATGCAACATACACACAGATTAAAGATCAGTAAAACTGTATATCGATTACAGCTATTTTATTAGCATATACGAATCAAAACATCATGAAAGGCAAAATTTTAACAGAATGTATATATATATATATATATATAATTTAAAGTTTTAACATTTAATATTTGCATAATTACTAAAAGTAAAATAGCAATTTGCTAGTAATAAACATACAGCTTAAAGTTTTACCGTACCATCAATGACAGTATAGTCTTACCGTGCTATCAATGACAGTATAATCTTACCGTGATATCACTGACAGTATAATCTTACCGTGCTATCAATGACAGTATAATCTCACCATGCTATCAATGACAGTATAATCTTACCGTGATATCACTGACAGTATAATCTAACCGTGCTATCAATGGCAGTATAATCTTACCGTGCTATCAATGACAGTATAATCTCACCGTGATATCAATGACAGTATAATCTAACCGTGATATCAATGACAGTATATTCTTACCGTCCTATCAATGGCAGTGTAATCTTACCGTGATATCAATGACAGTGTAATCTTACCGTGCTATCAATGGCAGTGTAATCTTACCGTGATATCAATGAGAGTGTAATCTAACCGTGCTATCAATGGCAGTATAGTCTTACCGTGCTATCAATGGCAGTATAGTCATACCGTCCTATCAATGGCAGTATAGTCTTACCGTCCTATTAATGGCAGTGTAATCTTACCGTGATATCACTGACAGTATAATCTAACCGTGCTATCAATGGCAGTATAATCTTACCGTCCTATCAATGACAGAATAGTCTTACCGTCCTATCAATGGAAGTATAGTCTTACCGTGATATCACTGACAGTATAATCTCATGGTGCTATCAATGAGAGTATAATCTTACCGTCCTATCAATGACAGTATAATCTTACCGTGATATCACTGACAGTATAATCTAACCGAGCTATCAATGGCAGTATAATCTTACCGTGCTATCAATGACAGTATAGTCTTACCGTCCTATCAATGGAAGTATAGTCTTACCGTGATATCAATGGAAGTATAATCTTACTGTGGGCTATCAATGGCAGTATAGTCTTACCGTCCTATCAATGGAAGTATAGTCTTACCGTGAATATCAATGGCAGTATAATCTTACCGTCCTATCAATGGCAGTGTAATCTTACCGTGATATCACTGACAGTATAATCTCACCGTGCTATCAATGACAGTATAATCGTACCGTCCTATCAATGACAGTATAATCTTACCGTGATATCACTGACAGTATATAATCTAACCGTGCTATCAATGGCAGTATAATCTTACCGTGCTATCAATGACAGTATAGTCTTACCGTCCTATCAATGGCAGTGTAATCTTACCGTGATATCACTGACAGTGTAATCTTACTGTGCTATCAATGGCAGTATAGTCTTACCGTCCTATCAATGGAAGTATAGTCTTACCGTGATATCAATGGCAGTATAATCTTACCGTCCTATCAATGGCAGTGTAATCTTACCGTGCTATAAATGACAGTGAAATCTTACCGTGCTATCAATGACAGTGTAATCTTACCGTGCTATCAATGACAGTATAGTCTTACCGTGCTATCAATGGCAGTATAGTCATACCGTCCTATCAATGGCAGTATAGTCTTACCGTGCTATTAATGGCAGTATAGTCTTACCGTCCTATCAATGGCAGTGTAATCTTACCGTGATATCACTGACAGTATAATCTCACCGTGCTATCAATGACAGTATAATCTTACCGTCCTATCAATGACAGTATAATCTTACCGTGATATCACTGACAGTATAATCTAACCGTGCTATCAATGGCAGTATAATCTTACCGTGCTATCAATGACAGTATAGTCTTACCTTCCTATCAATGGCAGTATAGTCTTACCGTCCTATCAATGGCAGTGTAATCTTACCGTGATATCACTGACAGTGTAATCTTACTGTGCTATCAATGGAAGTATAGTCTTACCGTGATATCAATGGCAGTATAATCTTACCGTCCTATCAATGGCAGTGTAATCTTACCGTGCTATAAATGACAGTGTAATCTTACCGTGCTATCAATGACAGTGTAATCTAACCGTGCTATCAATGGCAGTATAGTCTTATCGTGCTATCAATGGCAGTATAGTTATACCGTCCTATCAATGGCAGTATAGGCTTACCGTCCTATTAATGGCAGTATAGTCTTACCGTCCTATCAATGGCAGTGTAATCTTACCGTGATATCACTGACAGTATAATCTCACCGTGCTATCAATGACAGTATAATTTTTACCGTCCTATCAATGACAGTATAATCTTACCGTGATATCACTGACAGTATAATCTAACCGTGCTATCAATGGCAGTATAATCTTACCGTGCTATCAATGACAGTATAGTCTTACCGTCCTATCAATGGCAGTATAATCTTACCGTGATTTCACTGACAGTGTAATCTTACTGTGCTATCAATGGCAGTATAGTCTTACCGTCCTATCAATGGAAGTATAGTCTTACCGTGATATCAATGGAAGTATAGTCTTACCGTCCTATCAATGGCAGTGTAATCTTACCGTGCTATAAATGACAGTGTAATCTTACCGTGCTATCAATGACAGTGTTATCTTACCGTGCTATCAATGACAGTGTAATCTTACCGTGCTATCAATGACAGTGTAATCTTACCGTGCTATCAATGACAGTGTAATCTTACCGTGCTATCAATGACAGTGTAATCTCACCGTACCATCAATGACAGTATAATCTTACCGTGCTTTCAATGACAGTGTAATCTTACCATGCAATCAATGACAGTGTTATCTTACCAAGCTATATATGACAGTATAAACTTACCGTGCAGTCAATGACGGCGCAATATTACCGTGCTATCAATTACAGTATAATCTTACCGTGCTACAAATGACAGTGTAATCTTACCGTGCTATCAATGACAGTGTAATATTGCAGTTTTATTAATGACAGTATAATTTTACCATGCTATCATCGACAGTCAAATCTTACCGTGCTAGTAATGACAGTGTAATCTTACCGTGCAGTCAATGACAGTGTTATCTTAATGTGCTATCAATGACAGGGTAATCTTACCAATCTATATATGACAGTATAAACTTTCCGTGCAGTCAATGACAGTGTAATCTTGCCGTACTATCAATGACAGTGTAATCTTGCAGTGCTATGAATGACAGTATAATCTTACAGTGCTATGAATGACAGTGCAATGTTACCGTGCTATCAATGACAGTATAATCTTACCGTGCTATCAATGACAGTGTTATCTTACCGTGCTATCAATGACAGTGTAATCTTACCGTGCAGTCAATGACAGGGTAAACTTACCGTGCTATCAATGACAGTGTTATCTTACCGTGCTATCAATGACAGTGTAATCTTACCGATGTATCAATGACAGTGTAATCTAACCGTACTATCAATGACAGTGTTATCTTATCGTGCTATCAATGACAGTGTTATCTTATCGTGCTATCAATGACAGTGTTATCTTACCATGCTATTAATGACAGTATAATCCAAGGCACTGAGTACTGTCTGTAGCTGCGTTAGACTTTGGGTGGCTCTATTCACGGCTGCTCCAGCAGTTATACCACTACTTCCGCTCAAACCACTTAAAGCATTGTCCATTTCTGTATCAATGCTCTGAAAAACATGTTATTCCGAATACATAAAAAAGGAGGAAAAGCTACAATGAAATATGTGTACGATTATTCCTTTCATACAAAATAGTATTAATCCAAACAAATAATTTTCTTTGATTTTACCACCACTTGAAGGTTATTTTTTCTATTTAGGTTTTCCAGTCACACAGACATAAGGGTATGTGTTATTCACCAGGTTAAACTCTTAACGTAATCTCCGTGTATTATCTTTATTATTATTGGAATTCTTACGAAAATATACTTTGGTAATACCAAAAGCCTTTAGCAGTTTTTGTCGATGCTCGCAACGGTTAAGAGCAAATATTACAAAGTAAGCAACATGAACCTCCTACAACTGAGATACCGCACTATGCGTTTTTACCTATAAGGCATTTTACTGGCGTATGACAGCTGTGGAAAATTAAAGAAAAATTGCTGCATCATGCTTTAAGTAATAGAAAGAGCATCGAAACACGAGGCTATTTTAATTTGTATGAGGGGGGGGGGCGTAACCGCCGAGTATTAATCAGATTGCCGAGTGCTTTTATGTTCTTTCTCTATTGTATCATAGTCAAACATAAAACACGGTCCCTGTTGTCACATAATGAATCCCTGGGAAAAAGTTACTTATGAACGAGCATCTGAATATTATAGTTTAATAGTTTATTGTCTCATTCCAAGCATGTCATATATACAATACATCACAATATTCAATCATATTAAAAAACATGTTGGACCAATCTCGATAGATTTATAAGAGACATTTAAAAACATGATGATACTGGTAAAATATATTCTATAGCTAAAAACCAATTTACTTTATAACCAAGTTACAAGTATATATAACAGACATTTTTGTTTATTCCTTCATGAAAAAACAATATACTTCAAAAAATAATGCCCAGAATATTTGTGACAATACTACTGCAATTTACTTGTTATGTGAGTGAGGCCAAATATGTTCATACAAAAGTGAAGTTTAGCGCAGCATACATGTACCCAGCATTGCTGTATAATTCTCATTATTCAGTAAAAGAGTAATAATGTTCCAAATGAATGCATATATCATGGAGTATAAGGTTGTAACCCAAAAAAACACTTGACTGTGAAAGGTGCGTGACCTAAAATATTTGAATAAGTACATGATTATGCTAAATGTGTAATCCAATAAGTACATGATTAAACATGGTGTGTGAGTCCCAAGGTACAAAATTGAGCATGATGTGGCAATAAGTACATGATTGAACATGGTATGTGTCCCAATAAGTACAAGATTGTACATGATGCATAACCAAATAAGTACACGGTAGAACATGGTGCGTGAAAAGTCATTATTCTGCACTACCTTAAATGACAGTATAATGAATAATATTAACAATAATTGGTTGGTTGGATATATTTGAATGTATAGGGTGTTCGCCTTCCAGCATGATACATTTGTGTGCCAGTGTAGATAACATTAGTAGGGTACAAACAAACTGCACTAAACTCAGCCCAAAAAATCAACCATTTAAATCAAGCCTATACACAATATGTCTTTAATATTCAATGTAGATACACAGTGGCAATGTACTGCTATATCATTGCCACAGTTAAATCTTCCTTCACAACCAAAATAAAACAAAAATATCTGTTTTACATCTTCAATTATAAAATATAAAACTAATTGTTGTTAAAAATTATGTACTATGTACACTACTATTTTTACATTTCTACTACTTTAATAAAAGGATTAAAACATCCTATTTACACATAAACAAATTCCTTCTTTGTAGTATCTGGAAGCAGGTTTTGGCACTAACTCTTATTACATTAGTATTACTAAATATAACTTTTAATTTCTCATCACTTTTCAGGTCGATAAAATTGTTAACAGCAACTGCAGCTTGTTCAAAAAGTACATTTCTTAAATCATTGTATAACTGACATTCTAATATTACATGAGTTTCATCCTCTACCACATGACAAAATGGACATAGACGTCTATCTACCTGGAGATTTTCAAATCTTCCGGTTTCTATACGAATTGGTGCTACACCACATCTAAATTTGCTAAAAGCTGATCTGTGGCTAACAGGCAAAATCATTGTACAAAAAGGTTCAACACAATATTTTTCTTTAAATATACAATATGTCCGTAATTTATTCCGGCCTCTACCTGATGAGCCCGTGGGTGCATTAATTTTATCAAACCACTCTGTTTTAAACTTAGCAAACATACGTTCTTCTACAGTTTTAACAATATTATTCTTGGATATAGGTATGGATATATCATTATATATTGAAAGGTCTAACTCATTCAACTGTTTACGAACCCAAAAATACCAGTTTTTACATTTGATTGACTTACAGGAGGCCCAGAGCGCAATTCGCTTATTTATTCTTGTAGTATTGGTACATGAGAGACGGGCCCAAAAATTAACTAATGACTTCCATTGTCGTACATGTGGCGGCACCCATCCCATATCACCAGAAACAGCTGCTGTTGGTGTGTATTTCCCAACACCAAGGAAAAACCTCATTGCCCGATGTTGCACTGCTGCAATACAGGAGTAATTTTTATGACCCCATATAGCAGCTCCGTAGGCAATAACCGGCCATACAACAGAGTCATATAATTTGGTAAAAACCTCATAAGGCAAACCACCAATAACTTTGCATTTGGCGATAAGTAGACCTAAGGCACGACTAGCGCTCTGAGCCACCATTTTAGCTGTTATACTAAAATCTAAATACTCACTAATTAACAATCCCAGATATGTATATTTGTCAGAATAAGAAATAATATGTTCACCACATCTAAATTCATGTTCTGATCGTGGCATAGACTCTGTTCGGAAGTGCATGACATTACATTTATCAGGATTAATACTCATATCATTTCGACCACACCAGTCATTCAATGCATTTAACAATAATTGTAGAGCATCTTCACTATCTGCCAGAAGAACGATATCATCTGCATATAGTAAAATGCATATCTTTTCTTCTCCAATATTCACACCCACATTAAATGACTTTAGATAGACAGCAAGGTCATTAACATATAAATTAAATAACAGAGGTGATAAAATACATCCTTGTCTTAAACCACAATTAACATCAAACCAGTCTGTTTTATGACTATTTAGTCTAACACTTGCAGAAACTGTAGAGTACAATGATTTAATTGCAGTTAAAATTTTTCCATGTAACCCAACAGATATAAGTTTTGACCATAAAATATTCCTATTTATACAATCATACGCCTTGCGAAAATCTATAAAGGCTGTAAAAGTTGATAGCTTACATTTCTTACGTGTATCTATAATATCTACTAGTGATGAAATCTGGTCTATCGTGCTTCTCTTATTTCTAAAGCCGTTCTGTTCATCGACAAGTACATTATTTTTCTCAACCCAATCATTTAATCTCATATTAATGATTCTACAATAAACTTTATATACGGACGATGCAAGTGATATACCTCTGTATGACAGTGGGTCTCTACGGTCTAGGGTTGAAGACTTTGGGATAGGATTAATAATACACTTCCCCCAAATTGACGGAACAATTCCATTATTAAAACACAAATTAAAAAATACATGAAGAAAATATATAGCAGTGTCATTTTTCAACACTTCAGCTGGAATATCATCAAATCCAGAGGCTTTACATTCTTTGCTTGTAAAATAGCTTTCTTAACCTCTAAAAGAGAAATCTGACCATTAAAGGAACAATTTTGATTACTATCTTCTGTTACAAAAACACTGTTTGCATCATTATTTGTAATATTAACATGATTAAACAATGAGCTAAAATCCCTTCTCCACTTATCTAGAACATCTTGTATACAATAAGAAGTAGAACCGTCCTCTAACAAAACTTCTTCTGGTACTTTATTTTTACCACTATAACTAACACCAATCTTACCTATTGATTGCCAAAATTTATTCTGATCAACCTCACATTCTTGTAACAAGTCATTTTGTAAACTATACCAATAAGTGCGCTTACATTTCTGCACTTCTTTGTCAAAACACTTACGACTATTTACATAAATAGCTTTTAACAAGTTTCTATTATTCCTCACTTTACAACTTAACCAATTTCGCTCTGCTATACACAACTTGGACCACAACTCAGTCAAATGGTTATTCCACCATGGTTTCTTAATTCTACATTTTCTAAAATTACTATTATTATTTCGTACAGCTCTGTATGATATATTTGTATACATACTATCTTTCACAATATCACACCATTGCTTATACACACTGTCAATACTATTTTTATTTACAACATTTTGCTCCAGATTATCAATTAAAATATTAATCTTATCTAAAACAGATTGAGTATTCATAAAATCATTTGGAACATTTTCCAGATCAAACTTATCATAACCGCTATTAACATAATCTCTACTACAGTTCTCACTTAGATTGACAATATTTGTATTAATTCGCCATGACAGTAATGAGTGATCTGGTAAGCATGTAGGTGAAAAAACACCAATATTCTGCAACAATTCTGTCACAGGTGTTACAGTAAAATCTATAAAATCATTCATATTTCATGCAGGGAAAAACAGTAGTCTACCACCGATGAGCCCTTAACAGAGATTGATGTAAAATTATCACTGCAATTGCTTCTACATTTAGTAAAGACATATTTGTGTTAATTAAAAAATCTATTAAAATTTCACCATAATGATTCACCGTAAAATCTATAACTTTTCTCTGTAAAACATTATCTACCCCAACAATGAAGTCATCTAAATCGCCACATCGACTATTTAGGTCTCCACAGACATAGATTGTACCTTCTTTTTGATACTGATATATACATGCTAGTAAATGATCATAAAAGGCATAAACATCAAAAACACGAGAAGAATTTTCAGGAGGCAGATAACAGACACAAGGTAATAAACAATACTTGTCTTTTTTATGTATTAATTTCAGCCAAAAAATCCTTTAAATGAGTTGTCTAAAATAGTTACATCAAAATAATTTAAAACATTTTCCTTAATGAAAAAACCAACTCCTCCCAAAATATTTCTAGCATTTCTATGTAAATTCTTTCGATTAAAACCGAACCATTTATACCCTTCTAGATTAATCACTTCGTTATCCTGTAAATGTGATTCTGCAATTGCTAATATATCAAAATTTTGTTCTAAAATACAAGTTGAACGTACAACAAAATTATCAGACACTGGATTAAAATTAAAACCACGAACATTCCAAAAACCTGCTGATAACTAATTATAATTGTTCTGTCTCTGTCCACTATGATTGTCACGTTTTTCATTACGACCATAGCCACGACCTTGTCCACGACCACGTCTGTTGGGGTTGTAATTACCACCATATCCCGATCTTTGCCACTCATTATTATTGTAATTATCCTCTTGAGAGGGATTGTTTCTTTTATTAGAATTTCTCATGTGAGAGTCATGATTCCCACCTATGTGTTGGTTACCTCCCCTGAGAAGAGAATCGCGAGTGTCAGAATGCCATGTTTCACGAGAGTTATGATAATTACCACGACGCGAGTTATTTCCCCTGAAAAAAGAACCACGAGTGTCAGAGTTATCACTAGTATCGGCTATAGCCCCTTCACTGAAACTACCACAAGGAACATTCTGATGACCAAGCCTTCCTCGAGAATCACTATTGCTATCTTCTGCTCGTTCGTTCATCCTCACCACTCGAGAACCTCTTACTGCTAGACCATGTTGACGGAGAGCTCCAAGCACCGTTCGAAAGTTATCCGACATACGCCTTTCTGAATAAGACAAATCATGATTTATAAATACGTTGCTGTACTGCTTGTTATTGTTTAGTCTATTTTTCTGCAACATAACATTCTTTTTGTCTTCGAATGATTTGAACTTCGCTATCACTACCCCCGGACGTTTCGGGTTCCTAGATTTCTTTCGCTCTGCTTTATCAACCTCTATGTTAATCAATTTTAGACCGTCTTTAATTAACTTATTTACTTTATGTACTGTTACTTCATTTGCTTGTTCCGGCAAGTCAGTGATTATCACATTCAGAGCAATGTCGGAACTATCGGACCTATCGGGTACACTAGTGCCTTTAGATCTTACACACTTCTCACTTAGTTCTGTCACTTTATCATTCATTACCGTTAATTCTGCCGACACTTCTGCCTGAATATCAGATTTGATAGCCTGAATTTTGTCATCAACTACTTTTTGAATTTTGTTCATTTCACCGGTGATGCGCTTATCTAATGCCTGAGCGACCTTGGTTGCGATCTTTTGCTCTAGTCCCTTCTGCAAGTCACAAATCTGTTCGTTCACTGCTTCAAATTGCATATGCATATCTGCAGACAAATTTGCCAAAATGGAAACAATGTCAATTTCTAAGTCTTCTGACTTACTATTATCATTAATTACCTGTGTTTTTTCTTTAGCATCCTTCTTATCTTTTTTCACATTTTTACCGGTTTTCAAAGTTTTCAAAGTTTTTCCATTATCCTTAACCGTACCCGACACCTTAGACCCATTGCGGTTCGGTCTCATAATGTCTCTCCGCGTTTTCTTTGATGATACATCCGGTCCATCTCCATTTCCCTCTCCTGAAGCTGGTGAAAGCGGTCTTTTCCTGGAGCTTGAATGACCAACAGACACACCTTTCGACTGTGAAGCGCTACCCACTGTAACTAAAGAAGTATCCCCCTGTAGAACACTCTTCACTGAATCTGCCGCCTGCGAAAGCGACATATCAAACAAATTGTCATTCTTAATCCTGTCCGTGTCCGACTGGGGATCAGATCTTTTCGGAGTAACTGGCTCCATATTACCAAACTATGCACAGTTCAAAGGCCGTAAGCACTTGCACTATTACTTGTTCTATAACTTGACAATTATTAACAAAAACGTTCATATATGAAGAAATTTCTAGGTTTTCATCTTCAATCACGATTTTATTTGTGATTTATATGATATTTTTGTCGCGTTCTCTTCCGACACAATAAGTAAACCCCAGCAAAAATGAGCCAATCATTGGGCATGCTCTGTTGTCACATAATGAATCCCTGGGAAAAAGGTACTTATGAACGAGCATCTGAATATGATATTTCTGTCGCGTTCTCTTCCGACACAATAAGTAAACCCCAGCAAAAATGAGCCAATCATTGGGCATGCTCTGGAGTGCGGGTAACTAAAACCTGCACTTCAGTTAACGCACTGTGTATGTATATGTATACGATTTAACTCTGACACATTTTCAACAGAAAGGTCCACAAACTATAATACAACTTAACATAGGGTGTAACTTTGTATTTTCACAACTATATATCGCAAAGAAAATGATCATTTACATACCGTTAGCTGTGCCGCTAGAGTTGTATCCAGGTCAGATAAACTGAAGCCTTTAGCGTCTAAGTGGAATGCTTCATATGCCGCCTTTCCATCCCGACAATCCCTGAAATATAAATCAACATCAATTGAATTAAATAGTAACAAACTGGTTTAAAAATAAAATCAGACGAATGTTGGTACGACAAAATGACTTTCAATTACAGGTATAGAGAAATGTATAGATTACGTTAAGTGATAAATGGAGTACAAAATGGATAATATAGAATGAAGTAGTGTGATATTGATGGAAAGGATGAAGTTTGTACAAAGTAAAAAAAAATCATCGAATGAGTACTTTTAGTGGGCCACTTGTTTAAGGCCGTTATTCCATTAGTACGTGATCCGTGACCCGCGTCAGTGATCCGTGTCCGGGCATGTCCGTGGGTTTTATTCCATAGGTACGTTATTTTCTCTATATTTTTAATTGAAGTATAGCGAACAGAGGATAATTATTTGTAGAATATGATATAATTTCATTCTAATACCAAAAACAGTTGTAACACCAAAGAATTAGGTAACAAACATTGAATATCAGTTAGGTTTTCAAATAACATCTCTTTAGCAACCGAAGACCAGATGTTGTTTTTTTTAATCTGTCATTGCTGCATCATAAACTTATAGGTTCTCCCAGACTATTTTGGTGACTTCTTTAGTATTTTCTTTCGAAATCGATAAAGTATTTAATTTCGTTCGAGGCATTTTGTAGGGATGAAACATGTCAGTGACTGTCCGCGTCCGTTAAAAATCGCTCATCCTGCGAAACGTCGCGGATGGTAAACGGACAAAAGGAATAGATTCAACGTATTCTTTGATTAGCAAATCGGTAACGGTTGCGGATGACGGACGCGGACCACTGATCACGTATAAATGGAATAGCGGCCTAAGACACGTATACGTTATAATTATCACATGTACATGCGTTAAGAGATTATCAGCTTACTTCAGCACTTGTGCCAATGAAGATCCAAACATTTTCCTAGTGTCGAACTGTTTGTCAGCAACCTAAAAGAAAAGAAATGTCGTGTGTATTTCTGATGTTTTATATTATTTATACGTTAATTTACTTTTACAAGTATCTTATATTAATTTATACACATGTCCAATGAAGACCTCTTGATTGAAACAAAATAAAATATCAGCGTTTGTGTATAATTTAATATAACATAAGATATTCTAGATGGTTGTATAAAAACCATCTTACACGCTATACTTTGTTCAAAATAAGCATTACCCTTTACAAATTTAATTGAAAGTCCACATTTTCTTAACCACGCTTAAGTTGTTAAGTTGTTTATTTATATAAGATATAAACTTACATTTTTCAAACATAATCAATTAAAGAAAAAACAACAATCACTTGTGTTTTACTTACTTTAAGGAGTTCAAAATCTGGCGGTGATAACGGCTGACAAACAAACCTCTCAAGGATAGAACCGACCGCAAAAGTGAGCGTCGTCAGTAACATGAGGAGCCAAGAGAACAAGAAGATAAAAGCGACAGACCTGAAATTAAAACAAGAACACCGGATACATAGTAAGCTGTAATTTTAACTTTTAAGCGAAATAATTGCAATAACAATGATAAAGACTTTATTGAAAGAGGCAATACAATAAGGCATGTCCAGTCTTCCCTAGTAAGAAGTCCTTTAAAACATAATAGAAAAAATAGATAAAAAAAATAAATATATAAAACTCTACAAAATTTTAAGCCAAGTAATTCATGGAAAAAGGACTAGTTAGTGCATATTTATATTCGTTTGACTTCGGTAGTGAAAAAAAACCAGACAGTTAGTTGATGTTTTTTATTAACACATTAAAATTTTGGTAGCTAGGTAGATAGTTTATTAAACATGCTCAGTAAATGTAGAAAACTTTCAAGAAGACGGATACATGTACATATGTACTTGATATTTATTAAATAAATTCATATATTTAAATAAATCATCATCTAACGATAAACATATACCTCCTTGGCAAAAAAACCCCAAAACATGTTCAATTATTTCTGAAGCTCAGTCCAATAACATTAAATTGTTTGCAAATATAACTTACGCTATTAACATGTTACCACCAGAGTTTGAGACACAGCCCCTATCTACTGGTAGAGTCCTCAGACCTTGACCGACCGAGCCAAAAACCATGCCGAAGAATTGCAGGAGTACAATAAGTGTTATAATTCCTCCGAGGACATTGCCGCCAATGTGCCTGTAATAAAGTATCAACATGATTACATCTTTTTTACAAACTGATCTATAATAATTTTGTTAGGAATTCAACCAAGTAACGAATATTTAGTTGTGTTTGATAAGAACTGCAACAATACTACTCCTAGTTCAATAATTAAACCACTGTTGATGTCTAATACACTTAAAGGGATACTCAGGCAAATTAATTACAAAAATATTAAAATAATTTTATGTACTCAAATCACGCTAAAATGACAGTTTTGAGATTTCGGTCATAAATTTCTGTATAATTATATTCTATATGTTTTGGGTTTTAGGCATAAATACATCTATGTTGAACGTAATCTAGTCGCTGACAGAATCACTGAGTAGTTTTAAAACTAGTCAGGTGACTTGAACAAACCCTGGAAGGTACAGTAACAGATATAGTGGATATTGTATGATTGAAACAAGTCTAAGCCATTCATTTGACATGTTATTTAACGTTCACCATGACAACTATTGTAAAATCTTAACACTCTAACCTGACCCACGTGGGTCAAGTTAGGAAACCACCATTTTATTCTTCATAATGAGAAATTTTTTGTTCCTGTAACTGCCTAGTGTAATCATATTGGGGACATTTACAGAAAAAATGAATGAAAGAAATTTCATAACAAAGAAATGAACATTTTGCCTGTGTCTCCCTTTAATGATTTAGAGCTATATACAGTACGAAGAGCATGTTAAAATATAGTGAATTATTAGAGACACTATTATACCTGTATTTATCGAATGATTGTGCAGTGTCTGTGAAATCCCTAGCTTGATCTTTGTAAGACTGAATATCTATACCGTCTTTGGCCTACAATGTAAATGATAATGTTAGACTGAATATCTATACCGTCTTTGGCCTACAATGTAAATGATTATGTAAGACTGAATATCTATACCGTCTTTGGCCTACAATGTAAATGATAATGTTAGACTGAATATCTATACCGTCTTTGGCCTACAATGTAAATGATTATGTAAGACTGAATATCTATACCGTCTTTGGCCTGCAATGTCAATGATTATGTTAGACTGAATATCTATACCGTCTTTGGCCTACAATGTAAATGATTATGTAAGACTGAATATCTATACCGTCTTTGGCCTGCAATGTAAATGATTATTTTGTATCGTCTCTAATTCTACTAAATGATGAACATTCTGTTGATAGTAGTATGATTGTAGCAAATAAAAGATGTTATGAATGGTTTGTTTGATCGCTAGGATGTCATTAAAATTTATTTTATATAATCAAGCGAGTATTATTTATACTGAATAGAACTTCTTTCTTATTCAATAGATGCAATCTTAGTATTCCCATTTTTTGAAACATATAGATACAGGAAGAGTTCCGACGGTTTTTGAAAGTTACGGACTGGTTCTAATTAAGTCAGTTTGACTTTTTGACTGTAAGGTACTGCAAAGGTACATGGCATCAAATTTTCGACCTGAAACTTTGAATCATTTTGGTAATGCCCACCACTTTTTTTAATTCCTTAGCTTTCATTGTTAAAGAGGTAGATGTAAAACCTAAATTAAACATGTAAAATGTCTTTAAACTTACTTCTGTTTTAAAACTTTCGATGTCAGTAACATATTTTTTTACTTTGGTTTGCATTTTATCAAATGCGGTGCCTACATTTGCTTTCATTCCTGAAAAATGAGATAAAAACATAACAATTATCAGCAAAACCCGCTCTATCATCATCATCATCATCATCATCATCAACAACAACAACAACATCATCATCATTATCGTCATCACATCGTCATCATCACCATCATCAAAATTATCATCTTCATCAACAACAAAATCAACAAAAATAACACAATAAAAGTGCAAGTATTCGAAAGATTTGTTGCAACTGGGTATAATCGTTTTGCAGGGATTGTAAATGGGTTTGCCATCTTGTAATTTGATTATTACTCCTTTTTGTTTTGTTACAAATATCCACAAGTAGACAAGTATTTTTATTTGTGTATTCCTGCACATGTAAATATTCTTTTATCAAAATTACATTGTAATACAAACAACAACATGTTGCCTGTACTTCTTCCGCTGGTTTTAACAATTCCTTTGACGAATTGAAAGTTGCTTATGATAAGGAGGACAAAATTGGTTCAAAATCCAGAATCTACCATACGCGTAACTGCCCTCCGGTATATGGATAAATTTTGTTAAACTACACGTGAAAACCTAATATCAAAACAGTTAAAATAATTCAAATAATAGACAATTAGATGTACTGTTTGGTCAATTTACCTGATAAATTAGGAAGTTTGGATCTTATATTATTCCCAATTTCGTCTTTAACCTGTAAAATAATGAAAAACGTTTACGATCTCTGTTGAATTTATTACAAACAAATATTGAATATAATTATGCAGATCTGGCGGTCTGGCGGTCGGTCGGTCGGTCGGCCTCTACGTGTATGGATTGGAACTCCTAACCTACTTAGATGTTGATCTCGCGTAGTCCACAATTCTAGAGATAAGTAACCAATTTAATCTGTGTATTTGAAATATAAATATATTAAATAAAGATAAATGTATTTTAAGCTAAACATTTGACGTAGATATGTACTTTAATTTAATGAATTTAAGCCATCTGGGATGAAAAATGACAACAGATAAGCATTAATCACCACCTAAATGGCATGCAGCTATCTTCAAGACTTTAGAAAGTTGTTATATTTAATTGAATATATTATTAGATATGTTTATATATTACGTCACCTGTTTTACTGCATCATTGTTCTTAAAACTGTTGAAATCATTTTTCTGAGCGGTAGTTAACTGAAATGATAAGATTATATTAATTATGTTTTATAACACTACTAGTATTTTCTCTCAGCATATAACAATTTGTTTTGATTCGAAAATTTCGCGTTTCGTAATAAAGATATCGTTTTCACATGCTTGTGCGATGTCTAGGTCCCCAGCAAGTGTTTGACTCAATGGAAGATGGATGACAGTTATGTTTCCACAATAAAACTACCGGGACCTTCATTTTAGTTAGGAATATTAAAAAGACATAAACAAAGGCGCTTGTACGCGTGACTTTTACTGTGAAGACATGTTTTCCTCTTCGTTAGTGTATACCTACCTGCATGCGCAGTTTTTAGACAAGAATAAAGGTTGCCTCCTATTTTGAAATGAATTAGAGTTAAGAGGACCAAACTTACTCCTCGTGTAGCTAGCGGATCGGTCGGAATGGCCGACTGAATTACTGTGCAGGTGCCTGCAGCGGAACAACTTGTCATCATTGTCGTGTAAGCATTACTTGCTTGTGTTGTCTTATCTGATACAGCATCAAATGCCTTCACAGCTGACTGTATATCTGCAAAACACATCACCTCAATTTTAAAACATACAATACATGTAGACGTAACTATCATATCAGTGAAAATTGTAAAGCGAAAAAGTAAAGTTTCTGAATCAAGCAAATTATAGTGTTGGATGCATCAATTTTGGAATAAATTTCATTATGAGCAACGCTATGCCTAAGTTTTTATTGGTAGAGGTCGTTCCCCTAACTATAAGGGCATGGGGTAGAAGGAGTAACTGTTTTATAACGAATTGATGCCAGTTCTGGCCAATATTTAAAAAAATTGCAGAGAAGTTAACTTTCACCATTCAGGTTCATATATTCTATTTATAAATATGTGTAGGACTACAAGTGTCAATGTGTGGTACCCGATGTGACCGGCATGGCAGACAGACCCTCTTCAGATATGTAGAATAAAGTTTATGATAAGTTCATCATATAAAATTGACAAGGTACTATTTTTTTGAAATAAAACCAAATAAATGACATTATTTTAAAGTAAGATTTCAACTTACTAAGTTCCATCTTGTCCAGTGCTCCGTTTGATAAATAGTTCACTGCAAAACTACTGATTTCTTTCTCCATCGCTATAATTATTTTGAAAAAGAAGAAAAAAAAAAGTTCACAATTTTTAACCTGACACATATTACTAATGATAAATGTTTATCCCATATCATGTCATACTTTTTTCAGAGAAATAATACCAAAGGTGTATATATAACTGTGGTTATATCAATATGGTTATCTATTACCATTTTATATCACCATGATTATATCGGCATGATTACATGGCTATGATAAAATAACCACGATGGTATATCACTGTGCTCATGTGACTCTGATTAAATTTTTCATTGCTTATACCAACATGAATATGAATGATAGAATATTGCTATGCTCATATAACATTGACCATATCGCTACGGCTATAGTATTATGGTTATATAGCTATGATTATTTCACCATAATTGTATAGCTAAGCCTATATTACCATGGTCATAAAGCTATGATTTTATTTTTACCTGTATTATCCAGTTTATTCTCGATCGCTGCTCTTGTTGTTCCAAGATTTTTTACCCCTATGACCTTTGCTTGCTGGAATGTTTTAAATATTCAAGGTTTTAATGAGAATAAACTTATTTCAAATATTGTAAAAGAAGAAAATATGAATAAATTAAACAAGAGGACCATAATGGCCCTGAATCGATCACTAGAAACAACGGTTCTTCAGTGATTATAGGAATAATTTGTCAGAAAGACAAGTCCAGCTCACTTCAACTTGCCTCTCTAGTTGTAAAGTTTCCCGACACTGAGTGTTATTCATGATCTCTGAATAGCAAACAGGCCATGACATTACGACTGCCTCCCAGCAATAGTCTCTGTTTAAGAAAAAGTGCATAACATGTACACATGTATGGAACACATTCCAACATGGGTTGTTTCATAATTAACTATAATTTTGAAGAAATGCCACGGACTGGGACACTTCAGCTTTAGCGGCCCCTAAAAGGAGCCAATCAAATTGATATAAGCAAACTTGATAAAAGACTACCTAAGAATGCTACACACACAGTTTAGTGGTCATACATCAATTAGTCCTGTAGAAGGAAACGTTTAAAAGTTTCCTATTTTTTAGCTTTATCGGTCCCTAAAAGGGGCCAATCAAATTCACATAAGCAAACTTGATAAAAGGCTACCTAAGAATGCTACACACACAGTTTAGTGGCCATACATCAATTAGTCCTGTAGAAGGAAACGTTTAAATGTTTTCTATTTTTTAGCTTAATCGGTCCCTAAAAGGGGCCAATCAAATTCACATAAGCAAATTTGATAAAAGACTACCCAAGAATGCTACAGGCAAAGTTTGGTGATCAGCCAATAAATTAGTTCAGTAGGAAAAGATGTAAAAAGGTTTTTCTATATTTAGCTCTAGAGGCCACTAAAAAGGGCCAGTCAAATTAATCTGAACAAATTTGATAACAGACAATCTAAGAATGCTACTGACAAACTTTGGTGGTCATCCATCAATTAGATCAGTACAAAAAATGTTTTAATATTTTTCTATGTTTAGCTATAGCAGTCCCTAAAAGGGTACAATCAAATTCATATGAACAAAATTGATAAAAGACTACCTAGGAATGCTACAGACAAAGTTTGGTGATCATCCATCATTTAATTTAGTAATAGAAGACGTTTAACGTTTTTTTTCTATTTTAGCTCCTTTGACCCCTAAATGGGGCCAATTGAAATGATATGAGGAAATTTAAGTGTGACTGTCATAAGGATGCTACAAGCCAAATTTGAGGTATATCTGCGCAGCAGTTTCAGAGACGAAGACGCATGACGACGGACGCCGGAGCATCGCCCTTTGACACTTATAGCTCACCCCGAACCTTTGGTTAAAATGATAAAAATCATTATAACAAGACGATTGATAATACGTTTTATTATCACTTTATATGTGTAATTAGACTGATGTCTAATCCACTTGTACTGGTCTTGTTTAGTTAATTTAATTCTCTATATTTTACAATTCTCGAATGACATGTTATATCACATAGATCCGATAGATTTAACACTTATAAGGGTAATCAAGATCACAATGCGTAGTTCGGTCAAGTGAACCATTGCTAATTTAGATTCCCTACCTCTACAGTGACGTTTAAGAACGTGTCAATGTCATTCAGGTTATTGTCTACTATACCGGCGACTTTCTCCAGCGCCGTTGTCATCCTGTCATTATTAACATACGTACAAATATTGCCAACCCTGAAAATTCAGTATAGATATAAGTTAAGGTATTTTGGTATGCAAACATTTAGTGGAGATAAACTTTGAATATCATATACTTGCTAAAAGATAATTTCATCAATTTAATAAATCTTCAAAGAATGATACATTTATGTGAAATGTCATCTGTAGTTTAATATAGTATACATTAATGGATAAAGAACCCTATAAGTGCCAAGGTAGTAAACTAAATTGTTGTTGTTTTCTTCATTTGAATGAGTGAAGATAACCATGTAAGATAAATGTCTCTGTAACTCATATAATTTATTTCAGTAAATCAGTGTTAAATTCTGCTTAAGCCGATACTAGGAAAGTCTGTAGGACGTCTGTAGCATGTAATTACCACTACAGACAATAAACAGGCTTAATTCAATTTAGTATGCGAAATTTCAATTTTGCCGTTTTGGGCTTTTAAAAGTTTCCATTTATTGGCCATTTTATCTCGATCTTAGACTGAGCTGTGTATACCAGATATTACAGGGACTGTTACTTAATCTGTATTTTTACGTATTGTATCATATATACGGCCAGGTATAGATAGCTCTAAACAACCATGTTTATGTATACTTCAATCGAAAATTTCCCATACAAAATAAAGAAGACAGGAAATGGGTGTTTCTATTTTTCGTTACAACACACTCCCTTTCGTCCCGGATCCTAGATATCGAGATATCCTTCATATTATTTACAAAATAAACAACTACGTAATGGAGAGTAAATCAACGTCTTCTCATAATTGTTTTCCTCGAAGTATTTGTGCAAGTGGTAAATTAGCAGGCATTATTTTACCCTAGCAGATTGCACATGCCTATATACATATATGGTCCAACACTGCTTTCTTTCCCTTTCATCACAATTAGAAGTCCAGATGTACTTCATACACGGACTTGGATTGTCAAGATATGTTTCCTAAATATAGAATCCTAATTACATATTATATTCTACTTTGTGTTGTAAATAGTTAACTTACAATATAAAGACTGTTGTAACAAAGAGCAGACAAGCAAACACTCGACGTTTACAGTGAATCCCATCGGTTGCTTCCTGAACTCTTTTCCCGCCACAAAATCCGCACAGACGACAACAGCAGAAGCACGCGCCAACAAGTGGCACTGTTATTATAAATAACAGTCCGACAACAATTGCAGCGACGTAACCTTTGAATTCATTCAGAAGCTGAAATATTGCGAAAGGCAATAAAGGTTATAAAGTAACAAAAGAATAGATAATTAAAGATGTCATATTAAACGCAGTTTTACTTTAGGAGATAAAGAAAAGGATTAAAGTCTGCTAAACAATATGCACGAGTTATTTACTTAGTTTATTATCATCCTGAAATAAATATAAAGTAAACTTGTTGACAACTGTTTAACAAAACTGGCTGCCTTTTATTTAGCATTACTCATATAACTGTAGCGAAAATGAACTAAAGATTTCCCCCCCACGACCAATGCCGTGTGACAATGAAATGATTTAACTTAAAGGAACTTCACTGTGGTCATAACGTCTAAAATCTCATAACTTGAAATCCATACATAGATCATGTGGAGCATTTTAAACGGAAAACTCTGCAAAGGGTAATAAGGAAATATACTCTGGCTGAAATTAAATATCTTTTGTGTGTGTGTGCGAGTCTTATTCCCCAATTGAGCAAACAAAGTGGCCGAGCAGTTCATTTTTTGGTCATATTGCACAATCAAACAACGGGTTGAAGGAAAGATCTGCAAATTTACGTCCAGACCTACAAAAATCTGAGATAAATAGTTATAATTACCTTCTGAGCAAGCTGTAGCATATCTTGAGATCCCATGTTAGTTATCGTCTCTGTAATAAAGAAATACAAAAATGTTCTTTCATACAAATACACGTAGTTATAAACAGTGTAACATCGAATATCAAATTTATTATTACAATAACCATAGTTTCCGACTTAAAATTTTATTGCCTCTCAGTAAATGCTAATCAACGGTTCAATTAACACGATTTTGTCCGCATAAAATCCCTTTACGCAAAAATAGTATTCTTTATTTATCGCTCGAACATATGCATATGAGTAAACGCCTAGGAACCAACTCATGTCCGATATAATAATATTTTTTGTGTGTCTATATTTTTTGTTCAATCCCATTAAAATCATATCATTATTGACGTCCCACTTCCTTTCACTAGTTGGCTTCCTAGCGTAGAGTGTATAACGGAGCAAAAACGATGAATTAATTAATTCTAATGAGAGTTTGTTGTTGATGTTGTTGCTTAAACACAATATCTTTATTCAAAATCACAATAATAATAATAATCGTTTTCTTAATCCTCATCAAATCTTGCATATAGTATGGGAATAAAAATAATATATAATTATCAAAACAATGATTATAAAAACTGTTAAAGCAGCATTGTTCACCTGTCACCCAGATACTGTTTCATATTTGATATTCGAGTGACCCATTTAAAAAAAACACTTTACAGAATTGTAAAAAGCTTTATATCTGCTGACTATATTTAACAAAATCATTACATCATAGGTGGATTTTGAAAACTAATAATTCCTAAATAGATTTCTAAGCAAGGAAAACCGTTGGTATATAAACAAAAGAGCGAGGCACATGCACGAAATCGTTAAGTTGAAATCGTGAATTCGTGAAGTTGAAATCTAAATTCACGAAGTTGAATTCGCGAAGTTGAAATAGTGAAGTTGAAATCGCAAATTCATGAAGTTGAAATCGTGAATTCATGAAGTTTAAAATTGTGAATTCGTGATGTTGAAAAGTTGAAATCAGGAATTTACGAAGTTGAATTCGTGAAGTTGAAATCGTGAATTCGTGAAGTTGAAATCGGTTATTCATAAAATTGAAATCGTGAAGTTGAAACCGGGAATTCATGAAGATTAAATCGGGAATGCATGAAGTTGAAATGGCCGTACCGGTCTTTCGTAAATAGCATATGCATTCTGTGTTTCAGCAGGGGGAAAACATTAAAAAGTCATTATATATAGCATTATAGCTTTTGCTCCAAATTGATATTTGAAAATACAATACAATATATAATTCGATATACTTGAGCATATCTTTGACGTAAAATAAACGTCTTTAGATATGTTATATATACTTTTATCAAATACGGTTCCATCTTTATCTATCTTATCTGATTTAAAGCACAGCTTATACAGGATTATTTCTAAATTTGTAACCACTATTATGTACTTAGCTGATCCGCTCTTTCTGTGGTTTGCAAAAAAAAACTTGACAAAACACGAATAATCAACAAACTTTGAAACAGTGTAAACTCATTGAAAATTTTCATATTGGAAGATTATATATCAATTTGTTTTCTTTCTCAATCCCCTGCCATGTCGCAATGAGTTCCTTGTAGATAACGTATGTCGCATTCCGCTAACCCTATCAATAACCCGGAAGATTTATACGTAGCTCATAATGACTTAAATATTTAGATAGGACTTCAGTTTAATCAGTACATGCTTTAATGTTTGATACATGACTGTTTCATCTATTCTCGATACATGCCCCCTTGTCCTTGCATTATTGTAACCAGTGTAAACAAACATTGGAGCGTTGAACTATCGAGTGGCCGCTGCCGTGCAAACAGAAGCGGTGGTATTTCACGTGCACATTGTCGGTTATTTTATAATGTGTACACGAATGTCAGAAGCAACGACATAAGTAACTTCATTGACTTTAATAATTAACAGGAATTTATGAGTAAACACTGTAATATTTTAACTCTTTAATATATTTTACACCCCTGTTAATTCTCCCCATTGTGCAATTGTTGTCCATCTATATTAAAAGTTTAATAAATGTTTGTAAACATCTTAATTGCTCTCTTTTTGTCGCTTGAAGGAAATTGAATAAAAGGTTCCTATTTATAAATAAATATTTCCTTGTTGTTTTTTACTTTTCTATACATGACCATTGTTTTGCCTAAAACACTACTCTTATCTACTCTTATATCACCGGAATATCTTAATAATAACTTTTACCCTTTAACTAAATTTAACTTATATTGTTAAGTAAGTTTTTTCCCTGCCAGATATGTCGAAAAAATACCATAATCTTGTTCATATCATACTTAATAAAGCCCAATCTGATATTATGATCGTTTCTTATTTCTCCATACAAGCTTCAACTGTGGGTTTTGTGGCTGTCGCAGTGAATATAAATCATTGCAGAGGCTTTATCACAAAACAGAACAAATTACTTAAGAAAACCTATTAAATGACAACGTAGTTTTGTATTTTAGCTGACTTGACAAAATCATGTATCAGCATGTCCTATACTCGCGGTCCTAATATTTATCATGTTTGGTTGCACACATGTTAAGGGGTTATCTAATCATTATCATTTTTCAAGGAAGAAATATGTTTTACTTTTTGAGAATTCAACAGGCATTTGATTTTTGCTATATTCCTCCAATGAAAAACTGTAGTTAGACTCATTGACTGTTCAACAACCGACAATGGGATAGCATAAGATACGTATTGCTCTCTATAGATTCTAAGCCACGCCTACTAAACGCACGCTCTAGCAACATCGATGCTTCGCTTCAAATCAGGTGCATTTTGTGTATTCATAAGGATTTTGAGCGAATAAAGAGCACACTCTACTACCAGTATCGCTAACACTTGAAACTTGATAAAAACGTTTAATTTTATATTTAAAAGTAATTCTACCTTTTAAGTTTGATCAAAATTATCTTGTATTCACCACCGACAGCTCCGAGAAAAATATCAGTGTCAGCAGTTTTATTCTTTATTCATTATCTTTGTCATGTGCGCATATTGCAATACAGGTGTGATAAAAACGTTTAATATAATTTTATATTTCAAAGTAATTCTACCTTTTAAGTTTGGTCAAATTTATTACTTGTATTGACTTCCGACAGCTCCGAGAACAATATCCGTGTCAGCAATTTGATTTTTATTTATTACATTTGTCATGTGTGCATATTGCAATACAGGTGTGCACTATGTCGAAGTGCTTGCAATGCGTTTTTTTTTAGATCAAATTCAAAATATATTAGAAAAAAACACTTACATAAAACAAGAATTGACAATAAATAATTTTATTTCACAAAAATTGTCATTAACCGATAAAAAAGCAAATAACTCTTTTATTAATTGTCTGGGTTGAAAGGGTGAATGTAAGAATGTATGACAGTTTTAATAAAACGTAATTAATATAAATTTATCATGTTTATTCCATGAATAAGCTGTTTATTCAGGTGCAAGAACTGTTGTTTTTCTCTAAAGCAATTATGAATTTATCGCAAATTTTGGCAGGCAAGTTGTACTGATTTCTTGTGTGTATGCCCTATATAATGAAGTTTTATATTCATTTACAAGATCATGTCTAACATAATTATTTTAGCGATATACATGTATAGTAGCAAAAAACTAGGAGAATACTGTTTGCAGTAACATAACTAAAACAAGTATTGCATTTTCGCCTCTGTTTAGCAGAGCAAAAAATCTCAATTTTACATTCCAATGAGCTGTAAAAATAACTACAATAGCCTGGTCGTTTTTATGCAGAATAAAATAACATCCCCTACCTGAATTTTGCCTTGTTTGTGTGCATAATGATTACAAAGGAAATTGCAAATTGGAAGGATTTTAAGCGAAGAAACAATGTGCTAAAGTACAAATTTAGCATAAAATTTGACATATGTCCTTGGTGTGTAAATTGAAACATTTGTTTGTTATAGAATTATAAAAATAAACCCTTCCGAAATACGTAAAAATATAATGTTGATAAAACTATTTCAGTAGGTTTTTATATAACGTGTCTTTAAAATCATATACAGCAAGTACTTTTATTCTTTAGTTCCCAATTAAGATTAATGCATTTAATTAACAAAGTATTGCATATTCATTGCGTTATTGCCATTTCATTTCGCATCTGAACTATGTCGTCTTTAGAACGTCGATCGGGTACTGTCCACGTGTTCACTGAACTGCAAAATGGTGAACATTTATATCACGAGCAATAAATTATTGCGATGCTTACTTTTGTACGTTTGGACAAGTCTTTAAATTGAGGTCTTATGCACTGGTGCTCTATATGAAATTATGCAGGTTTAAAATCTTGAACGGAGAATGCCAGGCAATCTTTGTACTATATTACACAAATCACTTTAATGTACATTGTTTTTGAGATTGTTGATCGCATTGTTTGTTGGTACTAGGTTATAGAAATAGACCGGGGAACAACAAGGCAAGGCGGGAACAGATATTTAACTCCGAATTGGTCGATCATTTATACTCTAAGAGCATTTTGATAAAACGCAGGTCTTAAAAGATTAAATAAATACAGCAATTTGACATAAAAAGATATTGCCTACAAAGGACAATCTTTTGCATACCAAACAGTAGAAAAAATAAGAAGAAATTAACAATTTTAAAAAAGCCGGGACGATTTGACACAAGGTTATCTAATGTTGTCTCGTTGCTTAGTAAAACTAAATCGTACGTTTAAAATAAATCCCCATCCAACGTTTATCTAATGTGTAATCGACATTTCTAACATTTTGGTCATTATTATTTTCAAATTAAACAGATAAATTGACATGTGATGTATTCAATAGTTAATTGTCAGCGAAGACATTGTCCGTATCTTTGTACAAAATTGAGATTAAAGATGATGTCAAATCGTTTAATTTTGTTGAAATCTTCTTTAAGAAGGCTATATACCGCTCTGTGTTACGATTCAACCAGCCACTTTGAATTAACTGACTAAGGAAGGGTCGGTGATTTTCACTCAGATGTTGGTCTTCACCAGGGCTCACTCAATGTGTCATTATCTGATCCGTTTCATTGTCATACAGGGAAGTCGCATTAAGTCGTCAAAATGTTATAATAAAGCACACTAATGTATGAACAGTG